TGAGCAGGCAAGCCAGGCAGGCGGAGTCGGGAGAGGGGAGAGAGCTGTTGGAGTCTGGCGTTTTGCCGGGTCCCGTGTGTGATTGTTCGTGGTGAAGCTGGATTGCTTATATCGAGATTGGGAAAGAGTCGTAGGCCAGACGCGCGAGAGGGTGAGGTGGATGTTTTTGCCGCTTTGGATACCTTTCAAGAAAATATGTGAACTTGTCCCAATTTACAATCCTGACCACCAAGTCCCCCAACAACAACGACCCCATGAACGATAAGGATACGTCCCAGCATCAACCAACCCACTTAGTCCCTCCCCAAACGTCTCCCTCCTCCAGCTGTCATTCTTTCCCCCTCTAATCCTCAACCTTTTCCCCTCCCAAAATCCGTCCTGCACAAACCCCATCCCTCTCTCCCTCAACCTCTTGAAACTCGTCAATGTGGTACACAGCTGCCCTCATAATTCCCTCCGCCAGCCTTGCCATGCGAGAGTTGCCCTCGCCTGCCCGGAGGTGCGTCTTATGTGAGTAGGCGGCTGGGTGTTTGCTTTGGTAAAGGGCAAAACGGCGAGCAGGGAGCGACATTTTAGGATATATTGGAGGGCGGGCCAAAATGAATAGCTTCACTTGATATATCTGGTTTTGAGCTGCAATCACGTCAGGACACTTACACAGACAAAGTCACTGAAAAATAGCCGAGTAACGACATATAGACGAGTTCAAAGCCTGAGAGAAGTCGGACTTTGAAGTACAATATACAGCAAAGGACAAGGATAATGAAAAAGAGACTGAGTAAGCAATCCTTCTACAAATAACCCGAAGAGGTAATCATGTAGAAACTATACCCAGCACTGCAAAATAAAACGGAATTGTTTACGTGAGAATCAAGAGCAGTTAAACAAGGTTACTCATAAACCTTTTCTCGCGATGGCCTCAGCTACCATGGTACAGAAACCTTTCCTCATTTAATGACAAGGAAGTGAGAGGCTTCGACGCTGCAGTTCCTCTCTCTGGCCCAAGGAGGGGGTTCACCAACTAAGCCTACATGTGATCCACTTGGAATCGCACCATCCAATGGCAGACGACGCAAACCGATGCTGTGTCCCCCTCCAAGTGGGAAGAGCCGCCGTAGATGCAAGTCGCCGCGGAGGGGAACCGATGTCCCAAGTCTCAGTGCTTGGCAACGCCTCCCATCGATGTTAGTGCAGAATACCATTACCCACAACTGCAGTGGCACGGAAGTGACTAGTCCTCGAAACAGCAATTCAACACCGCTTTGAACATGAATATATCTTCCATTTCAAGCACGCAGCTTTCCGTATCAACTATTGTGCTCCTGTCTACAATCCATATATGCCACGATGTGATCCCGTAACCCCGCCAACCGTAATCGCAGTGCGGGAAGTGCAACCTTTTGAATGCCGTTCGTAATGCCAAGATACCAGCAAATTGTTGCTGGTCGCGTTCTTCTCCAAACTCCTTCTGCCCGTCCGAAGCCGGGCTTTGGTGTTTTTTTTTCTCTAGTAAACCTTCTTCTTCTCATCAATGGAGAACTGGCCGGGGCCGCTGTTGACGAGCAGCAGGAGACCGCCGACAATAGAGAGGATCTGGAAGAAGTCGTACTTGGCGAAGTCCTTGTGGGGGTGGTGCTCGTGGAGCTAGGAAAACATTAGCACGGAGAACAGCGGGTGGGGCAGAGCATAACCTACAGTCCAGAAGTTGTTGACGAGGATGTTGAAGATGCTGAGAATCAGGACCAGGAGGGTGGCGCTGAACTTGGCCTTGAATCCGACGACAACCATGACGCAAGCAACAAAGCCAATCAGGGAGGTGATGATGCGCCAGACGGACCAGGAGCCGCTGAAGATGAAGCCAACAAAGAGGAAGATCAACAGGACACGGCCAGCAAGCTGGAAGTACATCTTGCGGTCCTTCTCGTCAAGGGTGGGCAGGCCGGCAAACGCCTTGGTCTTGCGAACCCATGAGTCGGAAAGAACCATGAGCAGGCCACCAATGACGGACAGGTTGCGCAGGAAGAAGTTGAGGTCAAAGATCAGGCCGTATCCGAGAGCCTGGGTGACGACGACGGCCATGAGACCGGCGACGGCGTAGTCGGAGTACTTGCGGATGATGACGAGAACAGAGCAGGCGGTCATGGCGACAACGTTGGTAATGAGGAACAAATGCGTAATACCGGAGGGGACTGCAGCATGTTAGCACGCGATCATTTGTCGGTCGTAGACTAGAAGACGTACTGTGTCGGTAGTCGTGCAAGTAGAGCAGCTGGTCGCTCCACTGGGTGATAATTCTGAGGGCATCCTCAAGGAAGGTGACAACAATCAGGAAGCGGCCGATGGCGGGCAAGTAGCTATCGTGAGACCCTCGTCAGCATGGCTCCAAAAGTCACGAGCTTTTCGGCAAGCTCCCTGCCAAGACCAAGGATCCAACTCACGGCTTGACGGGCTCGCTGAGAGTGTCCAACATGTCCTCAATCTTGCTCGTCTGCTGGCGGATCATGTCCAGAGGGCTGGATTCCTCGTTGTCCATACTCGAACCGCCAAAGGACGGGGGGCCACCGGCGCCCAAGCCGTAGGACGGGCCTCTTTGCTGAGCCATCGCGATGAGGGAATGATCGGAAGGGAAGGTCGCAAGGGTTGGTGGACGCGGCTGTTGCACAAAAAGGTACAGACAGACCAGCTGTTTCGCTCTCTAATTATCCTGGTCGAGAAGCCGTCGGCAGAGGCGATGGTTGGTCTGGTGGAGGGTGTTGGTGTCGAAACCGAAAAAAATAAAAGAGGGTTAACCGCAGCTGAGGATCCGAGGGCTAGCCTTGACGTTTCGGCGGCTTTGGGTTTGGCGGCAGGTTTGCGACGACGAAAGGAAAAACAGAATTGACGGATTGGCCGTTGGCGTTGGTAGAAGAGACAAGGCCGTGAGCTGTTGGTGTGGTGACCGAGAGAGAAAGCGAAGAACGACTTTGGAGTGTCGAAGGAAGGGAACGGAGAAAGGAGGGCAAGTTGTCCTGAACGCAAAGGTAAGGCAAGGCAAGGCAAGGAAGGTATGGTAGCGTGGATGACTTCTGGTACAATGTGTCCTTTCGACCTCCCGCGATGGATGCTTGAGGTCCGAGGTCCACTTTTTAGACAGAACACCCAGAACGGGTAGGTCGCTGGGCAGTCACCGGCATGTACCTGTCCAGACTCGAGGTACCTGCCCAACTGCCGCAGCTTCCCGCCCCCGCTGGTGTACCCGCGAGGGGGGAAGTACCGGGCTGGCTGCCCACCTGCCCAAGCTCTCCAAGTCTCAAGGTGCCTTACCACTGGGCTAGGTGTCCACGGGGGTTACGGTTAAGGCACGACTCCGCTAGCAGTGGACTGCTTTCAGCGTTTGAGCCACTGAGCGATGGCCGCTTGCTTGCTTCGGGTGGGTGAGTGGCTCGTGCGCGCTCAGTCCCTGGATTCGGCACGAACGCCTTCCTTTTGTTTTCTCTCGCGCAGCTCTTCTGTGCTTCCAGCAGCTGTCCCTCCGCGCTTGATTCTTTACGGAAGCTCCAAGCCGGTCTCGAATATCTCTATCTGTGGTCTCCGTTGGTGGATTTATCCGCTGTTCCATAGTGGTTGCGCGATATGCCGCCTCCAATGGTGTCCCGCAGAGAGCATAGGTAGGGCGACTCGACAAGCTTGCTCGCCTCAGTGAATTGACTCAGTCATCCTACCCCAAAGCTTAGGTAGAGCTCCCCTCACCAGGGTGACAGGCAGTCCCTTGCCGCGGCACCAACCCTTCCTCAGCGATTATCTGGCCTCTAGACGGTGCCGTCTCAAGACCGGTGGTGCTTCTCAACAATCGCCGTACATGTTGCTGCCTATAGGACATGATCTACTATTGCTGTCCAGTAGGCTGTAGTGAACAAGCGAACCGACGGCATCGTGGGCTTCAACGGCTGAGTGGGAGACCTCGGCATCGGATCGTCGGCGAGTCAGCTAAAAATAGACTACGTCCTCCATGCAACCTCCTGCGTAAGCCAGACTGTCATTTTCTCAGCGAGCACTGCCATGGTAAGCCGTTGTCCAAAGGCCCTCCTCCCGCCGCTGTCGTCAAGACTTCTGAACTTGACCCTTAAGGTTGGCTGCTGTTGGTTGTTACGGTACTATTCATTGACGGGGCTGCTCCGTGGCATCATCTTAGCTGCCGTGACCGATGTGGGGCCGTCCCGGCTGAAATTTCCGGTCTATCCGGCCTCACTTCGCTCGCATTAGCATCGAGGGACATACGAGAAAGTGACTTGTTGCTTGATGTTTCCTCAGTTGGCCATGTAGAAAGAAGGACGACTTGACTATGTAACGCAACCGCCAGAGTGCCGGGAGCCAATAGCCGCGCAGGCCGTTCTTCGAGTAATAACACCACGAGAGGTGGCATGCAGTGCTCGATGGATGAGAACGGCAAGGCATCGTCGAGGATAGTCGACCACATATGTCAAGTAAGCTTCTTATTGAATGCAACCATGGCAACACTATTTCAGGACCCCTCCGCTGCCATAAACAACTGATGTCATGTCAGTCCGAGTACGTCCTCTCACTGCTGATGTTTGCAGAGAGAGCTCGAATCCCAGCTTGAGCGAGGATTCCAAAAGGCTAAGTCGACCACAGCGTCTGCAGGCACGAGGGGGAAGATCACCAGCTTTGGAGAATTTGTAGTCATCGTCCGAATGATGCTTGAGCCAGATTGAAGTCAAGAAACGTTTTAACGTTTATTCAGAAGTCAGTCATAATGGTTGAATACCTCTCACACCGCTAGGTGTGTTCCTCGCCTGTCTCAACTCACTGATGATCATGATCCCTGCGACCTTAGTGGCAGAAGAAAGTTGCTCCGAATTCTGTGCACGCACCACTGTAAGTAAGCGAGCGACTCCTGTTCACTCTTTTTGGGTTGCTGGAGCCAGCCCAAAAAAAGAGCCGTTGAAACGCGCAGTGTGACGCGGGGCAAAAAGGGTGGCGAGATGCGCAAAAAGAGTAGTTGCTCCCAGTGAGGATTGAACTCACGACCTTTGCATATCTCCCGTTGGTAACGGAGGTATAAGAGCAATGTGCAAACCAGCTACACCATGGGAGCATGTCTTCCGCCAACCATATCGCTGTACAAGTACCGCGGGCGGATCCCCCCGCCGCTCTGACGTGAGGCTAGTGGGGTCTGGTGACTTCAACAAGGTGCTGGCCGCAAACACTTCAGTGCAGTTCTCAATTTCCGAGTCTGAAAACAAAAAAAAATCGAAGTCCGTAGAGGTTGTTGACATCTTTGTGTTACGTTGCTTTTTGAGAGCCCCTTGTACAGCGACGATGGCCAGTGCAGATGCGACACCTCCGTCCGCTCCACATCCGTACGGCTTCTTGACGACAGAGGAAAAGAAGACGATCGGGAGGGGAAAGGCGTGTAATTTGTCGGTTGAAGCTACGGGTCTTGAGCTTGTGAGGGAAGATAAGAAGTTTTCGAACATGTGCACTTGCTTAATTATTTTTGTGCAAAAATTCCAGACGGAGGGGTTGAGTTGCACTTCGCAAGGATCATGCACGTTGATCGACGTCTAAGTATACAGTCCTGATGCTAACGAGGTTGTTCAGAGAGTTCGGCGCGATGGACTTTGTCCAACATTTCTTAGCCTTAGAAAATCCGTGACGCCGAATTACTTGTTCTTGGAGATGCTTAAAGACATTTTTAATGGTAATTATTTCTTACATTGCTATGGAAATCACCAAGATCCAACTAAGTCCGGCGCCATGCGGCCAGAAACCCCTGAGCAAAGAGACCATTTCGCCCACGTCCGCCCTCCCCAACGCCATGCCTCTAACTAAGCCCAATCATTTTCTCGTCTCTCTAACTAGACAGAGCCAAGAGGGAGTGTTCAAAACCCTATAGCCCTCCATTCCCCCTTATGCTCTAAGATTGTTCCTTACTTGGCCGATAGTCAGCTTCCTGCCCCGCAAACGAGAACCGCGGCTTGTACGCGGGGAGCGGGGAGTTACCCGGGTCAGCGGACGCCGGAAGCTCGACGGGCGCGGCCTCCGGCGCGGCAGCCGGTGGTGGGGCCGCGGCTTGGTTGTCCGGGGCCTCGACGGCGATACTCGGCGCTATTGACGAAATGCGGGGGTCGCTGTGGTAATGTTCGGTCAGTTCCTGTCAACACCCAACATCTTTTCTTCGAACATCCATCTTCTCTTTCAACACCATTGATTCTGATCGGACTCACTAGTAGGCCTGCATGGAATGCGGCTGGGGGCTCATCGGGGGACTGGCGCCGGGGAACCCGCCGATGGGCGTGGGCTGGTCGCGGTACGTCCCGCTGAGCTCGCTGTAGTGGCTGTTCCGCCAGCCCTGCGTCGCGGGGCTCTTGGGCTGCGCGCTGTAGTTGACCTCCGTCACGGGCGGGTGCGAGGCCTCTACTTCTCCTGCCTGGCCCGACTGCGGGGGCTGCCGGTAGGCGCGCTTGAGGCCGCCGCGGCGCCCGCAGAGGTAGACGAGGAGGCCGCCGAGGATGAGGAAGGCGGCGCAGCCGATGACGATGCCGGCGATGGCGCCGCCGCTGAGGTGGTGGTGGTCGTTGCGGGAGGCGTCGGACTCGGTTGGGAAGGGCTCGCCGGGGAGGATCTGGGTTGTTAGGGGGAGGGCCGCTTCGAGTTGCTTGTCGAGGGTTTGGGTTGAGTTCTGGGGAGGCGTGATATTAGGTTTGGGTTTCTTCTTGGGAGGTCGTTGGATGGGTGGACGCGGCTTACCTCGTTGATGACGCCGATCATCTTCTCCTTATAGCATGAGCCTGGCGCGCCGCAGTAGAAGAAAATGGGATCGGTGTCGTTGACACGGACTCTGAATCTTGGCATCTGGTTGGCTGTCAGAGATGTACCGAGACTCAAGATGACGGCACTTACATCGTTTGTGATGGCCTTGACAGGTTCAGGGCCGCTGTAGAAGCCTTGTCGACCAATGTCGATGTATTCATAAGGCGTGCAAGGGTAACCGAACTCCGAGCGGATGACTGAGTGTCCATCGGGGTAGAAGATCCATTCTAGGGCGTGTTAGTTGCTGTTTCTCACAGCATGAGTGAGTTCTCACAACTAACCTATCGTGTCACCGACGTTTGCTGTCACTTTTGACGGTGAGAATGAGTATCCGGACTTTCATAAGTTAGCCAGAGCTGCGCAAGATCATGTTATACACTCTGTACATACAGCACCGACAGCGACAGTGTGAGTCTCGGCTGCCCCCGTGGCTTTCACTGTCGCGGCTCTTGTCCGAGTCGTCGTGATCGTACTATAAAATGGCGTCGGCGTAATCGGGTCCGTTGACGTCGTCGACTGGGCCCCGGCCAGCACCGCGAAGGCCGCGATGCCCCAGATATGTGACGATACCATGGTGAGCAACAACACAAATCGACTTGATTCTTTGCGGATGTCGTACGAAACGAGTTGCTGCGAGCGGAACCCGGCGAAGAGCTGGAAGGGACGGGAGAGGCGCTGGAGGAACACTGGGCGGGCGTGGAGGAATACTTATTCGCTGCTGCCGATGTCGCGGCTGGCGCATGTCCCGGGCATAGCGACGGGGGCTGGGACCCGACCCCCGACATGGAGTGCGGGAGGGCTGTGACCGCCTGGGCGATGCCATGCAGCTGACGCTCTTCGACCATGTGGTGTTCCCCCTCCGTATGCACGAGGAGCAGCTGGGTCAAGGGGAGAGAATGCAGCTGGATCGCCTTCTTGGCAGGTCGGCTGGCAGAAAGAAAGTTCATGGAACTATACAGGAATGTCCATCACAGGCGAGAGTGGCGTTCTGGCGAAGTCTTTGTTTGGATTGCCATACACGAGTCCAGTCTCATGCTGGATGTAGGGAATCAGATGCCAGGATTACGCTGACGAAATCCTGGCAATGACAAAGACTGATCGAGGTTGTACACTTACTCTGAAGCTACATTGACGATTGGGGTCAATGGCATCTTGCACATCCCAGCCGTTGACTCTTAGACTACTCCGTTTTGACCGGGCAATGGGACGTCGAATCGCCAGAAATCGCTCCGGACAGCAAAAGGTGGCAAGAGTTCAAACTGGTTATCGGTATCGATAGACCTCATCAGTATGCCTGAACAGAACAGTTTGCGGAGTAGGATGTACCCGTCCTTAGCAGAAACTTGAAGGATCTAGAGATTGGACGACAAGCCCCTTCAGCTTGTCATCTTTCGAAAGCTTGGCATATCTGAAAGTTAACCGCAACAGGGCTGAATTACTTTCTCGGATACAAACGAAGTTTCTCCAAGGCAGCCAAGTTTCTGTCGGTAGGATGTTTTGATTAACAGTGCTCTGCGACTCGCTTATGCTTGAAGAAGCTCTTTCAAAGTGGTGAGAGCCGCCCTGAGATTAGACCTTGCGGCTATCCCTAGTTCGTGGTTGTTGTCCGGCCGCGACACGGCTCTCAGATTCTCCATGGACCCTGAAGTCGTTGAATAGATTTAGCCCACCGGACAGTCTTGAGTGTTGTCAGTGCAGCGCGAGAAAGGCAACATAGTAGCAAATAGACATTTATCATAATGATTAAAATTGAAGTCAACACCAAGAAGAGACCTGCATCATACTGTCGACCCAGAGATGCCTCATTTTTCAGTACATGGAACCATCCCCAACGGCCAGAGACGGCGGACAACAGGGCAAACATTGGGGAAAGATCTGACGTTCCGCTGAGGGTTCGGACAATACAGACGCTAGAGCATTGTCAATCTTCCTGGTGTCGCACTAGCGCCGAGGAATGGGCAATGTTTGGCGGGGTCCCCTCAGGGCTGAGAATGAGACAATATTTAGACAAGCGAATAGTCCCTCTCCCTTGGAACAGGAAACCTTTTCCTCAGTCGTCTGGACTTGCGCAGTGTCCCCAGGTCGGCTGAGCTGGGCCCAGCTGGGCGGTGCCGGAAGTCGGCACTGGGGCAGCAGTAACCCACATCAACGGAGCTTTGTTTGAGATTGCTGACTGCATTCGTCCGTTACCGCTCTGCTGCTGATCGGAGCTACTTGAAGACGACAGGAGATTATTGAATCGGTGGGAAAATTGAAGATGCGAGAGACCTTTGATTCACCAGGTTGCAACAAGTTTACCAAGACGTCAAGGCTGAAGGGAAGCACCTCAGGCTGAGATCGCCGCCATCTACGTATAAGTCTTGGAGAGAGCCCTGATCGGAGAGTCACCAGGTATGCGCCGGACTTCGCCTGGCACCGGCCTTTGAAGCATGGCGAACGTGGGTTGCATGAGGCGAAGAGCCAAAGGATTCGGCTTTGCCCCTGGTGGTCCGGGATTGAGGCTGCATTTTGCACGGACCAAGCTCATGGTGCAGTGGCTTGACGGGATTCCGATTATGTAGAGGCATTCAATGTTTCCAAAGAGGGCAGGTACTTAGTCATCCAATTATGAAACGAACTAGAATGAATGAAGCGCAAATCGAAGAATACAACACGCCAGAGCACGACGAGCGCAGCTGCTCACACGGAGCCTCTGAGAAACGGCCCAGTCGAGCGAGACTATTTCCTTTGCATAATGAGGGGTGGTCTCCAGGCCACTAGAGACATAGTTATCTCGAGTAGAAGCTTTCTTCAGTAAGAGATCGTAGAAAACACCAGGAGCAATTAGTGCTGTTGCATTCGCCGCCTGCTCATTTCTCGATCTAGAGTAGTCGCCCCAATGTCAATCATCAGGTGGAATGATTGGTATTGATATTTGCTATGCCGAAGAAGTGATGTGTCGGAAGGGAGCCTTAGTCGTTCAGGACCTCCTCATTGAACTTCGTCAGAGCCCAAGATGAGTAAAGCCGCAGCAGAAGACCATCACGAGACAATTCGTGGTGTTGTTTCCTCTTCTTGATGACTAACTCGAAGCTAACCAAAAGCGTTCTTGGCGTGGAAGGAAGCACCTGGGGCGGGCCCAGAGGTTCGGACTGATCCACTCTCCGCAAAGCTTCCGACCAATCAGATACCAGTTTCAGAACTCGACCTCTCAGGGAAAAAAGTTCCAGCCTCGCGCCGGTGGACAAGACGCCTGCGCCTTCGCCTCATCCGGGAGTCTTCAACTCCATCGTCAATCACATC